GAGGATGGTACTTCAACCGTCTCTAATCTGAGAAGGCAACAGTCATGGCGTCAGGATGGAGGTTGACAGTCTGAGGCGCGATATGGATGAGTTAAAAGCCTTGCGGAATGGACCAACGCGAGATCTCGCAGGATCTAGCCCCTTCGCCAGACATCTCGATAGCGACCCCATACCAGCTAATTACCGACCAATTATGTTCGAGTATAACGGCACGTAAGATCCAGCCGAGCATCTGAGTCGGTTCAACAACACAGCATCTCTCCACCAGCTCACGGAAGGAGTGAAGTGCCGCGCCTTTGTCACCACTTTAGCTGGGCCGGCTCAAGCCTGGTTCGGCTTGTTGCCGCCTGGAAGCATACACTCCTTTGGACAGTTTGCCAAAGCCTTTATGAATCAATTCACTAGCTCGAAGAAATGCAAAAAGACCTCGCTGTCGCTGTTCAGCATCCGCCAAAAAGAGAAAGAAAGTCTTCGGAACTACATCAAACGGTTCACTTCGGCTACGTTGGAAGTCCCCACCACGAGCGACGAGGTGCTTATGGCAGCTCTTTCACAAGGATTAAGGGATGATGAGTTCTTTCGAGCCCTAGCGCTGGAACCCTCACCTGATTTCGATAATTTGCTGGAAAGAGCATCTAGATTCATTAATCTGGAAGAAGCCCGACAGCAGAAAATAGAAGAATCTCACCACACACTGAACGTGCGAGCCAACGAAGCAAGAAAAAGTAAGGAGCCCGTGTTGTCCCGAAGAGATACAATACCTGGTCGAGGCACCATCCCGGATGCCAAGGGATCCCGATATCAATCATATCAGCCCCTCACAGCACCCTTATCCCAGGTGTTATGCGCGATCGAGAAGAGAATTGACTTGCGTTGGCCCCGGACTGCCCGAGAGGAGCCTCGCCGAAATCCCGCATTGGGCACCTTTTGTCGTTTTCATAACGAATACGGACACGTGACAGATGATTGTTCGCATTTGAAGGATGAGGTGGAGCGTCTTATTAGGGATAATAAAATCGGGGATTTTGTAAAGATAGACCCCCCCCGAGGGCAAAAGCGCGAAGCTCAATTCGGAAATCCTGCGCGAGTCCCGCCTCCACCACCGATACCCAAACGAGGATACATCTAGATGATTTCTGGAGGACCTACGGGAGGAGACACTCACCGAGCTAGGCGGCGTCATCTCGGTAACCTCAAAAATAACCATGAAGTTTGCCAAATCTCTGTACCAAAACGCCGTCAGTATCCCACCATCTCGTTCGGACCCGAAGACGAAGTAGACCTCGATGACTTTCATTACGATCCCCTCCTTATCACAATCAACGTCGGAGGATACGATGTAGCCCGTGCCTTTGTTGACTCGGGAAGTTCGGTTGATGTCATATCTTATGAGTGCTTCCTGTAAATGGAACTTGATCTCCCAATCTTCCCTGTCACCACCCCGATATTTGGGTTCACAGGAGGATCTTTGACTCCGATCGGACAAGTTAAGATCCCCGTCACCATGGGAACACCACCTCGAGCTCGTACACAAACTGTCAACTTTGTCATTGTCGAGGGGTCCACCACCTCGTACAACATCGTGATAGGACGGCCAATGATGCACATCTTCCGGGCAATCCCCTCGACTATTCACCAAAAACTCAAATTTCCGGTTGACAGAGTTATCGGAGAAGTCCGGGGTGATCAAGCTCAGTCAAGATCTTGTTACGTCGAAATGGTCAAAGTGGCGGAGAAAGGACGACGTGATACCTTCATTAAAGAAGATCTAGGAGACGAGAAACGCCCTCGAATCGATCCGGAAGAAAAAGTCGCCCATGTACAGCCCATGGATGAGTTGATGACGATTGACCTCGCCCCCGGCATGTCGAAGCAGACCCAGATAAACAAAGACTTAGAACCACCTTTTCGAGACGAGTTAATAGCACTATTGCGATCTAATGTAGACATCTTTGCATGGCAACCCTGCGACCTGACCGGTATCGCACCTCGCACCGCTGTACATAGACTCAATCTGCGACCCGAGTGCAAACCTATCAAACAAAAGCGGCGACACTTCGGTATTGAAAAGGACGAAATTATCAAGCAAGAGGTCCAACGGCTCCTTGATATTGGGCATATTAGGGAGATCCAATTCCCCACATGGTTGTCCAATGCGGTGTTGGTACAAAAGACTAATGGGCAGTGGCGGATGTGCATTGATTTTCGAGACTTAAACAAGGCCTGCCCGAAGGACGACTATCCCTTGCCCCGTATAGATCAGCTCGTAGATGCTACCGCCGGATGCGAGCTACTCAGTATGATGGACGCTTCGCAGGGGTACCACCAGATCCCGTTGGAGGAAAGGGACCAACCGGCAGTAAGCTTCATCACCGCCACGGGCACCTATTGTTATGTGGTGATGCCTTTTGGCCTGAAAAATGCGGGAGCCACGTATCAGAGATTAATGGATAGGATGTTTCGAGCTCAGCTCGGGCGCAATATCGAAGTTTACGTCGATGACATGCTGGTCAAAAGCAAGAAGTGTTCCACACACCTTGCTGATTTGGCCGAAACATTTGCCACCCTTCGCCTTTATGGGATGAAATTGAACCCTGCAAAGTGTGCGTTCGCAGTAAAGGCCGGGAAGTTCCTCGGATACGTAGTTAATCGAGAAGGTATCAAGGTGAACCAAGATAAAGTCGAGGCGGTACTCCAAATGACCCCTCCTCGGTCCATCAAAGAAGTTGAGTCTTTAGCAGGAAAAGTGGTGGCCTTGGCTCGCTTCATATCGCGGATGGCTGATAAGAGTCTGCCTTTCTTCAAAGTCTTGAGAAAAGCGGCCCAGTTCGAATGGACAGAGGAATGCCAACTCGCATTCGAGGCGCTAAAAATCTCACTAACTCGCTTACGCATCCTTAGCACCCCTGAAAAAGGTGAAACCCTATTCGTATACTTATCGGTAGGTGACGAATCGATTAGCTCAGTCTTGTTCAAAGAAGTAAGTGGGCAACAGCTACCGATCTATTACATCAACAAGATCCTCACTACCTCGGAGATTAGGTATTCAGAAGTTGAAAAAATAGCGTACGCGCTGGTCCTCACTACACGGCGAATCCGGCCTTACTTCTTATCACACACAATGGTAATTCGTACGAGCTTACCACTCCGTCAAACCCTAGGCCAGCCCACAGCATCAGGACGAATTGTTAAATGGGCTGTCGAGTTAGGACAATATGAAATCCAATATCAACCTCGTACCTCGGTTAAAGGACAAGCGTTGGCAGATTTCATTCGAGAAACCACTAGGATACCTATGGAGAAAGAGTGGAGAGTCTACGTGGATGGATCATCCACAGCGACAGGAGCAGGGGCAGGGATAATAATCATCGATCCTACAGGAATAGAGGTGGAATTTTCTGTTAAATTACCACGAGTATCCAATAATGAGGCGGAGTATGAAGCCTTCATCCGAGGTATGGAAATCGCCCAAGAACTTGGTGCACGGGTGGTGCGAATAAACTCCGACTCTCAATTGGTAATACACCAGTTAGAAGGAGATTACGAGGTGAAAAATGATAGAATGAAGGGATATGTAAACAAAGCCCGAGCAATACAAGAAACTTTCAAAGCTTGCACTGTGCATCAGATTCCGAGAAATGACAACCAGCGAGCTGATTTCCTCGCTAAAATTGGGTCGTCAGTCGTCGACTGCGTTGAGAGAAAGATCTCCATTCTCATTGCCCCTACTCCGACACCCGGAGTCATGATGATCGACGAGGAGCCCGATTGGCGAACACGTTTGTTCGCATATTTCAGAGGGGAGCGAACCGGTACAACTAGAGAGCAACATCGCTTAGCATATAAAGCCAGACACTTCTACGTGCGACATGGAATATTATATAAAAGGAACTTCACCACGGTGGATGCGAGATGCTTAGGAAAGCAAGAGGTGAAGCACGTTCTGGACGAAGTACACCGAGGAGGTTGTGGAGAACATGGAGGAGCTCGGGCCCTCATACAGAAATTACATCGGGCTGGATACTATTGGCCCGGCATGAAGAGGGACACCCATCAATATGTGCAACGTTGCATACAATGTCAGAAATTTGCCCCACTTATTCATAAACCAGGAGAGGAAATGATCATCATGAGCGCCCCATGCCCCTTTGCCCAATGGGGAATTGACCTAGTAGGACCTTTCCCTCAAACCACCGGTAGGAAGAAATTCCTCATTGTCGCGGTGGATTATTTCACCAAGTGGGTTGAAGCCGAGGCCTTGTCAAAAATAACAGAGGACGAGGTCATGCATTTCATTTGGAAATATATTTGTTGCCGATTTGGCCTCCCCCGAAGCCTCGTGTCGGATAATGGCACTCAATTCAATGGCAAGAAGATTCGCGCGTGGTGTGAAGAGATGAAAATTACACAGAAGTTTGTGGCAGTGGCGCACCCGCAGGCCAATGGTCACGTCGAATCCACAAATCGAACCATCGTCAACGGCCTAAAGAAGAGGATAGACGAGCTAGGAGGCAGCTGGGTAGACGAGTTACCTTCGGTCCTTTGGTCTTATCGAACCACGGCCAAAGCAGCTACCGGTGAAACACCATTTCGGTTAACCTACGGAACCGAAGCAGTCATTCCAGTAGAGGTGGCAATGGACACACTCCGCATAGCCACATTTGATGAAGAGACGAATGACGGTGCATTGAGAACCCGGCTGGATGAGATCTTTGACTTACGAGAAGCAGCCTATTTACACATGGAACGAAGCAAGAACCTGATCAAAGCCCGATATGATCAAGGGGTCCGATCTCGCTCGTTCCAGATTGGTGATCTCGTTCTACGACGAGCTGATGCCCTAAAGCACACAGGAAAACTGGAAGCCAATTGGGAAGGACCATACGTGGTCACAAAGTGTTTGGCTGGCGGAGGATACGAGCTGGCGGATATAGAGGGAAAACCATTGCCACGGGCATGGAATGTCATCCACTTGAAGCGCTTCCTCGCGTAAAAAAAAAAAAAAAAAAAAAAAGGGAGAGATAGTCAGAGAAGCAGAGAAGCAACACATCCTGTAAAAGAAAAACCATCAATAAATATCTATTTTCCGAGCTGGGCTAGGCCCCGTGGTTTTTTCTCTCCTTATTTGGAGGGTTTCCACGTTAAAAAAATCCTTGTGTTATTTATTTAAGTTACAACCGAGGCGTTAAATCGCGTATTACACCGAGGCGTTAAATCGCGTATTACACCGAGGCGTTAAATCGCGTATTACACCGAGGCGTTAAATCGCGTATCACACCGAGGCGTTAAATCGCGTATCACACTGATGCATTAAATCGCGTATTATACCGAGGCGTTAAATCGTGTATCACACCGAGGCGTTAAATCGCGTATCACACCGAGGCGTTAAATCGCGTATCACACCGAGGCGTTAAATCGCGTATCACACCGAGGCGTTAAATCGCGTATTACACCGAGGCGTTAAATCGCGTATCACACCGAGGCGTTAAATCACGTATCACACCGAGGCGTTAAATCGCGTATAACATCGAGGCGTTAAATCGCGTATTACATTGAGGCGTTAAGTCGCATACTAAAATGAGGCGTTAAGTCGCGTACTAAAATGAGGCGTTAAGTCGCGTACTAAAAAGAGGCGTTGAGTCGTGCGCATAAGTGAGGTATAAAAACCAAGTTTTAAACTAGAATGAAAGCAAATTGTTGTACTAAACAAACGTAGCTTGCCAAAATCAGGCTAAGTCCTAAGTCGATGAAACCAAGGGATGATCACCGATGTGAATTGTTGGTTCAACCCGAATTCAAAAAATAAGTTGCTAAGTCTAAAAACCATTCTTGAATACACAACATCAGGATATAAGAAACACAAGTGAGTATGAAAAGCGAAACTTAAACAAAGCGGATTTCCGATACATTGAAATACGAAAGATGAAATAGATTGTTTAAAACATACAAAAAGAGATAAAAGAACACATCGTTCAAAAGTACATAGTCAAAACAAAAGATAATAACTAAGTATTTTCGGGCACTACTACGGGCGGATCCACCCTGGCTTCAGCTTGATCCCCAACAGGCGGAGGGGAGGACGAGATAGGGTTCGGTTGCGCCTCATTAAGGCTAGACAGCGCCTCGATG